CAGTCGATAGCCTTTCCCAATCAGGGCAAGTGGTCGTACACTGTGGCACAGGTATGCTATACGACGGTCACCACCACCGGGTGATTGGCCATTGATTTTGTATGATTTGAATTAATTGTATGTTTGCTGTGTTTAGCGGAAATGCCATTACTTTGAAGTGAACACCGCTTTGTACGTAAACTCCAGCATTTCCATCAAAAGTAAGGACCGGCTCTTCCGGAGTGATCAGTGAATTGGTGTCCGAATTGATGTCTCATTTGTGTCGTGTTTTTAGTCTCATGTGATTCCCAAGAGGACAAAGACGTGTCCGTCAAAGTCGGGTGGACTCTGAGAGAGACGCCGTGTTTTGAGGAGTATTTGGGACCAGAGATTGCGGTCAGTTCTTGGGATCAATTGGAGTGTTGTGTTAGGTTTGAGTGTTAAGTGGTTTTAATGATAATTTTTTTACCACCGATTAGTTGCCGGAATACCTGAAGTGGTATTACTATTGCCCGGCCATACAGATCGGCGACTTTGGCTACGATCGGGTCCACTATCTCAAGACCAATGAGATTGAGATTAAGTGCAACCAATTGAAGACATTATCGGTTTGTGGTTCAGATTATCCGCTAAAGTGTTGTCGAGTTTTAGGCACTAATTAAGTGGTGTTTTGCGTCCAAAACTATAGCCAAAAGCGAAGTTTGTAACTGAGATGATAAACCAGAACAGCACCCGAACCTCCTGTTCCCCACCGGACCTCACGTGCAGTAGTTCTCCAGAGACCACACTTCTGACACTAATCGGTGACAATTCGGGACAACAACTGGTTTGGGACGACACGTCGTCTTCGGGTTCGCAAAAACAACTGAAGAGATCCTATTCCTCGTCATCCGAGTCGCTGCCGACACCTCTGTCCAGAAGGCGACGCGATTTAAGTCGAATGACTTCCGTATGAATTGAATTGATTTGTGTGTCATTTGAGGCGATAATGAAGTCATTTTTTGCGGTTTAGATGTCGGAGAATGAGATAATAGTGCCCAACGATGGCGTCTATCTGTTAGTCGTTTACATCGAGTCGTCAGATAATAGCAAACTATTCAACGCCGAAGGTTTGGATCAACTGATGGATCAATTGTTTTGAAAGTTTTCTAACTTTTTTCTCTGTCTTTCAGTCGACATCGAAATGATGGGCCAAAGCGGACACCACTTGTCGGCCATCGACTGGCCTCTACTGCCCTTCTATGGCGTGATGTGTGCGGTGTATGTGTTGTTCGCCTTCGGCTGGCTATTCGTGTCGTTCAGCCAATGGCGAGATCTGTTGCGCATCCAGTTCTGGATCGGAGGCGTCATATTCCTCGGGATGTTTGAAAAGGCGGTGTTTTATGCGGAGTACCAGTCCATCAACTCGACGGGCGTGTC